CCCGGCGGCGGGAGAGGGGCTGAGGAGAAACCTCGGGGAGCCTCGTGCCGAGAGGACGCGGTCTTCACCCCGAGGGTCCAAGCGAGGTGAGGGACCCATCTCCATCCCCATGGTCCTCACCACGATGGCCATCCCCACCCCAAGGGTCCGAGCAAGGAACACGTCTCCATCCCTGTGGTCCTCACCACGATGCCCATCCTGGTTGGCGAGGTGAGGGACCCATCTCCATCCCCATGGTCCTCACTGTGATGGCCATCCCCACCCCAAGGGTCTTGAGCCAGTTGGCGAGGTGAGGAACACGTCTCCATCACCATGGTCCTCACCATGATGACCGTCCCCACCCCAAGGGTCTCAGCAAGGTGAGAGACCCATCTCCATCCCCGTGGTCCAAGATGACCGTCCCCATCCCAAGGGTCTGAGCAAGGGACCCGTCTCCATCCCCGTGGTCCTCACCACGATGCCCATCCCGGTTGGTGAGGTGAGGGACCCATCTCCATCCCCATGGTCCTCACTGTGATGACCGTCCCCACCCCAAGGGTCTCAGCAAGGTGAGGGACCCCTCTCCACCCCCGTTGTCCTCTCCGCGCCGGCCGCGCCCACCCGAGGCCCCGGCGCCGCCGCTTTTTCGGGTTTTCCCCTCGTTTTCCTCGCGCGTTTTTCGCGTTTTTTGACGTTGAATAAAAACCCCGAGGGGCGACCGCGGGCGTCGGCAGCGCTGGGAGGAAGGGCGAGGATGAGGATGGCGGTGGGCCTGGGGATGGGGAGGGGACGGGGATGAGGAGGAGGAGATGGGGATGAGGAAGAGGAAGAGGTTGAGAAGGAGGATGAGGAGGATGAAGAGGATGAGGAGGAGGATGGGGTTGGGATGAGGATGAGGAGGGGATGGGGTGAAGATGAGAAGGAGGATGGGACAGGGATGAGGATGAGGGGATGGGGATGAAGATGAAGATGGGTTAGGCATGGGATGAGGATGGGCCTGGGATGAAGAGGAGGAGATGAGGATGAGGATGGGATTGGGATGAGGAGGGAATGGGGATGAAGATGGTTTAGGCATGGGATGAGGGTGGGACTGGGATGAGGATGAGGCGATGGGGATGAAGATGAGGATGGGATTGGGATGAGGATGAGGAGATGGGGATGAAGATGGGGATGAGGGTGGGACTGGGATGAGGATGAGGACTGGGACGAGGAGGGGATGAAGATGAGGGGATGAGCGTGGGAGGGAGGTGAGGATGAGGAGGATGAGGGTGGGTTGGGGATGGGATGGGGATGAGGGTGATGAGGGGATGAAGACGATGGGATGAGGATGAGGAGGGGATGAACATGATAATGGGGTGGGGATGAAGACGGGATGAGGATGAGGAAGGGATGAGGATGAAGATGGGATGAGGATGAGGAAGGGATGAGGATGAAGATGGGATGAGGATGAGGAAGGGATGAGGATGAAGATGGGATGAGGATGAGGATGAGGAGGGGATGAAGATGACCCGGGTCCCCCCCCGGACGCCCGGGTCCCCAGAACGACGCCTTAACCCCTCCCCCAGAC